CCTCCACGCCCTCGCCGCCGGCGCCCGTGCCGAGCCGAGCCGAGCGCCGGCTTTGCTCAGTCTGTTCTCAGAGCCCCCGATCTCCTCCTCGCAGCTCCAGGCGGGGGCGGCTCCAGAGCCGCGAGGCCGGACGCCGCTAGAGGTGCTGCCCCGCAGCCCGGAGGAGGCGGCGGCCCGGGGGTGGGTGAGCGGGCACCCCGATCGCCCCCTTCTTTCCGCCGGAGTTGAATCTCTGCTGCCGTGTCCAGGTGCTGGGCTTCCGGACAGACACGGACCCTCCATCCCTCCCCGCGGCCGCCTTGTCATGCTGCCCAAAGTGGAGACGGAAGCGCTGGGACTCGCTCGATCGCATGGGGAACAGGGGCAGATGCCGGAAAACATGCAAGGTAAGGAGCCCCGGCGCCGGCCGCGCTCCCGCCGCTCCTCCCTCGGGCTGCCGCCTGCCGCGGGCGCGGGCGCGGGGCGCCTGCGGGCCAGCCCCCTCCCCAGATACCGGCATAAAAGTTTATGGCTCTTGAACAATGCGGGGCGGAGGTTTCCCCGGCACTGCCTAATTGGCCGCTTCTAATTAAAAAAGGAGAAGCTTCGGATTCTAATGGCTACTGGAGCCTGGCAGCTTCGGGCGGCGAGGTACTTTGGAGTAATCAGATCATTCTAAATGGAGCGCCTCACTGAAAATCCTAGCAGGTTCACGCACCTAGATATCGGTGGGAACTTTAACCAATGCTTTGTGAAGGGAGAGCTCCCTGGAGTCACGACCCCCCCCCCAAAAAAAAAGCTTGTTATTAGAATGGATATGACCACCCCCTATCCAAGCCCAAGTGGTCACCGGCTCGCAACTTCCAAATTTCAGGTAGAACTGAGAAGTCCCCCCTCAACCCCGCCGCCTTCTCCCTGTGACTTGGAGGTGGGGCGCAGCCGTTAGCTTAATGCCCTTGCTTCAGTCCAAGAGCTGGGAATATGGAAATCCCATTTGTTTTGCAGCTCTTGATTGCTAACAAGAAAATAAATAAATCCCCTTGGCTATATTTTCCCCGCATTCCAAAAGAGGAACTCTTGTCTGGCTCGTATTAAGCCCTTCAGAAGTTTATCGCATTCGCCCCGGGCCGGGGAGGGAACAATGCTAGGAAGAGTAACCGGTGCTCTTCCATCCTCGCCCCTTCCCGCGCGCGGATGTGCGGGCCGCCGGGCCTGTGATCCCGGGACGCTTCCTGCCATCCCCTTGCGCGAACTTGAAAGGGCCGGAGTCGCTGGGAGCAGAGTTCAGGGCTGGTGCATGCGGCCGCGCGGGGCAGGCGACTCGCTCGGGGCGCTTGGGCCTGAAGGCCGGCAGTCTCCCAGCTCCAGGACCAGAAGAGGGCGGTGGGAGGGGGTGCGCCATGCTTCGGGGGTTCAGTTACCCGCTCTCAGTAATCCTGGGGTGTCTCTAAGTTTCCGGAGAGGTCTCCAGGGCTGAATCCCCAGATTCTAACTTATTCGGAGTTGGGGGGGTGGGGGGAAGACCGGTTGGCCCAGAGTGTTGTTCCCGCCAGAAAACTTGGATTCCACGAAGTAAAGGGTGCGGGTGCGGGGCCAGTGGCGTGGGGAAGTCCAGCCTGGGTCACTCCGCGAGCTGGGGTGTAGGCCTAATCTTTTGGGGTTCCAGGTGAGGCTGTAGGGTCGGAAAGGAAAGTGAGTGCTTCTGGTTCTACTGCGGACTTGGGAAAACACTCTGGGAGACCCTGGCCTAAGGAATAGGGGGAGCAGAAAGAGTTCGTTTGCGAAGTAGAGAGGATACAATAGTAATATTTCCTTTGAAAAGTTCAAGAGAGACGCACTTGACCCGACCTGCCGCTGCCCGCAGAATGGAGCGTTACTTTTCTCTTGTGCGCTGGGTTGAGGATGTACTTGGCGTCTCTCTCAGTCTCGAGTTCGAAAGCTGCACCGGGAGTGGCCTGGACACACCTTCCTCCTGGCCTTTAGGCAAACTAGTAGGGAATAGTTCCTGGGGACAAGGACCCCAGGCTCAGCTCTCACGGTCTGACCGCGGCCAGGGTACACAAGGATTGCCTTCCCCAAAGGGACAACCTAGAAAGAGGACGCAGCAGCGCTAGGAGTCCACCTTTGGGGAACTCTGTGCGCCACCCGTGGCTGACCACTGCCCTGCTGCGCTCTCTCCTTTCTTCAGACCACGGCTGGAGAATGAGGGGGTACTTCTTTGCCCCGACGGATTCGGCTTTTCAGATGTTTAATTCCGCGACCCGGGGTTCCTGGTAGTCGCACAGCGGCCTCTTGTTTTCCTTGTCAGCCCCAGTCTTTGAGTTTCCCAAGAAAGTCTCCATACTTAGTCCTGGTATTTCTAATGCTAGACACCCGAGAAATTTCTCTCTAGGCCCCATCGGTGTGCAATTGGGGTTCACTTTATTACTGGGAAAAAGTGAAAAAGAGCACTTTGGGTTCCAAGTCCACTTTCTCCCATCTTCAAAACATACTTCTAGGCACTAGGCGCAAGTTTTAGGAGAAATGGGACCAGAAAGAAACTTCACATGCCTTTAGTCTTACCCAAAGCTCCAAGTTCCCAAACCAGTGCGCGGGCGAGCGGGTCTCTTAGGGCTGGAACCCCCCAGACCTCCCGGAGCACGCTTCTCTTAGGCCTTAATTGCCTTTTCACCTAGACCAGGAACCTGCCTCTGCTGGAACCTCCTGGCTTGGGATTCCCCCAAACTCTCAGTCACTTTGGTGAAAGCCCCAGCCCCGGGCAACGTGTCTCCGGAAGAGACGCTTCAGCGACTGCAAATGATCCCCCCCCAGGGCCCTTCCCAAAGGCCCTAAGGATCCGTAGAGGGTGGGAGGGGGGGAAAAGAACTTTACTGAAAAACAACTAGTCCTTCGCAAGGAATCCACGCCACTCAGGGGGGACCTGTGGTCGTTGCGATGGAGTCGGGCTCTCTTTCCTTTTCTGTAAACAAATCAGAGGAAACTTCTGCTGGGCCCTCGGTTCCCCATCCCCCGCGCCCCGCCCCCTGCAAACGCCACTGATTAACTTAAAACAAACTCTGCGGGGTGTTTGCGCGCCGCACTGCAGCCTGAGATTGAGCAAGAGGCGCGAGTCGGTGCGCCCGGTTGTCCCTGAGGGGTGAAGGCGCTGGCCGCGTTGAGCGCACCGCTGCCCGCCTTCGCTCCACCGCGCCCGGCGCTCGGGGACTTGGCCGGGTTTGGACGCGGAGTCCCCGGGGAGGGATCCGATCAGGTAATTCCTGCGCTGTTCAGCCTCCCATCTCTCAGAGGCCACGACGTCCTGGCGGGGCTGCGTCCCGGGGAAGTCGGTCACCCGATCCCAGCGGTGAGCCGAGCGCGTCGCCGCGGCCAGATTTCTGTTTAACTTGAACAGGGCGCTCTCGAGGTGTTTATGTTTTGCAGTGATGATCGGAAACATGTGAAGTTCATTAAGGGGTTTCAATAGTTTGCGACGAAACTAAACCCTGATGTGTGTCTTTCCCCCCCCCCGCTTTTCTGCTTTTATTTCGCCCGGGCGTCCTCTGTTAGGGTTCCTCCTCCCCTTTTTCTTCTTTTCCCTTCTTTTTATTTTCACAGATTGTGTTTCAAATGCGAGGCGATGAAACTATCCAGAACAGGAGTCCTGTCAATACGCAATCGAGGGTTTCGATTAATTTCGCGTTAATGAGCGCTGGGAGCCCGCAGGCTGGGGTTAAAAGTGGAGCAGGTTTTCTCTGGCTGCAATCGGTGTCATTCTATTTACAAAGGCGTCATCGCAACAAAGTTACTTCAAGTTTCACCGGCTTGGGAGGGATGGGTGCGATTATTTTCCTTCCTTAGGCAAAAGTGACTTTGGGATCTTTGCAAGCAGTTTAAGAGAAAATTTTAGCTGCTACTTTCTACAACTTCTGTTTTGCAGAATTATGAGACTTGTGCTCAACAGTGGTCAGTTTAAAATTTTAACCAAAAGGAGTTAGGATTCTTTCTAAACTATATATGGATACAGATTGAAGTGCATGCTTACTGATGCTAAGAGATGTTGAGATGTTTGTACTTTGCTTAGAAATAGTTCTGTTCAGTACTAGGGGTGCGGAAGGATTTTTATTTTATCATTTACCTGGTTCTGTTTGTCCACCAATCACTAAAGTGCTTTTCACTGTAGGATTAAAACCAGGGTCCTGAATTAATTGGATATGTGTATACATTTCTCTTCTTTCAGTGTCTCAGTTTAAAATGGTGAATTACTCCTATGATGAAGATCTTGAAGAGCTGTGTCCAGTGTGTGGAGATAAAGTGTCTGGGTACCATTATGGGCTTCTCACCTGTGAAAGTTGCAAGGTTTGCTCACATGTTGCTATCTGAAAAATATAATAGCCAGAGCCAAAACAAGCCATTGAACTGCCTCCCCTCCTTCCCCAAGCTAAATTTGGTCTGTCTTTTTTAGACTCAATTTAAAAATGAGGTGAGGAAGAGTTAGTCCTAGGGAAGTGATTCTTAGAAATATGTGTCTGATTTAGTTCGAAGGAAAAATAAATTTACGCTGTTTAGAAAACTTTACCAGTCTCATGGCTTAAAAATATTTTACTGTACTGTGATGATGTAGCTGTGGAAAACTTCCATTTCTAACAGTCTTAAATATTGATTTTACTTGACTTATGTATATTTAAAGCATCCTTGTTCCTGAGAGAGAACATGACATATTATTTCCCAAATACATTTTAACTTCACAGTATTCTGTGCTACAGATCTAAACATTTCTTATCTACACACAGAAAAGTCTAAATTCCAAATGCATTATTTCATCCTGATATATCCCAAATATCATTTGGGGATTTCCCCCCCCCCAAGGGAATTTATATACTAAAGAAAGATCCAGAAACAAGGTCTGTTCATTATATATTGATTTTCATAAATACATTGTCATCCATTTAAATGAAAGGATGTTTAGTATGTAAAACATACTATATTATCACTAATCCTACCACTTTTTGAGCTATCAATTTATCTTAGGCCTTTATGTTTCCAGTAAATTCAATATTGGCTATTTGAAAGTATTTTCTTAAGTAGAAAACTGAGGACAGTTAGTTAAACCATGCTCGTAAAGTCCCTTCAGCCTTTTTTAACAAAAGAAAATTGTTTCTCTTTATAGCTTATAGGATATACATAAAGAACACCATCTTGGTAAAGTTACTATTGTAAAGCTATCGTTACTGCAAATTCTAACACTGATCAGTTATTTTTAAGTGAAATATAAGGAAAATCTAGACAATTTGTGTTCTGAATTTCAGCTCTGTGAAGTATATCGATTCCTTTTAAATTAGTTTCACTTCTTTTTTTCCCTTTTGACAGTTTCTATATTTGAATGAGTTCCAGTGGAATTATGAGCATTTCCCCCTTTTACTCTTTAAATCCTTTTGCTTTTAACTATCCAGTGTTGACATTTGTAAAAGATCTGAGGTGCTTTGTTAGTCAGTTTTTCCACTGGCATGTTGCAATGGTTTGTCACTGAAATTGTATCAGACTCCTAAAACACAATGCAAAACTCCCAGTCTCTAACTGGAATGTGACGGTTAATAGGAAAACAGATTTAAAAATAAAAAATTACTATTCAACACATAATTCCTACCCCCCACACCCCCACTGATGGAACAAAATTATGTGTTGCCAAATCTCCCCAAGATTTGATGTAATTCTTCAGGAATATATCTCTGAGGCCAGAAAAATCTCCACCATGGCCTGGCACTGCTGTTGGAGGGTTAATCTTCCTGAATGTAAAACAAACCACAGAACCACACAGGGACTCAGATGGTGTAATGAAAAAGCATTGGCTGGTGATTTCCTTAAAATGAAATAAGCAAAGAGATGGGTGTTGGAGTCATAATACATTTCACTGTTTTCTCTGCCTTGCAGGGATTTTTTAAGCGGACAGTACAAAATAATAAAAGGTACACATGTATAGAAAACCAGAACTGCCAGATTGACAAGACCCAGAGAAAGCGTTGCCCATATTGTCGATTTCAAAAATGTCTAAGTGTTGGAATGAAGCTAGAAGGTAAGACTCTGCTAAAGAACTTTGCCTGTTGAGACCATCCAAGGACAGGGGCTTTAGAACGTTAAGCTGATAATAGGCTGACATGGTTTCACCAAGTTTGGGGTCTTTTAAAATATAATTGTCAGGTGTGTAAGAGATACCAATCTTTTTGTCTGTGGAGTCAGCCTCATTAAAACTCTGGTAAAATCCACCAATGAAAAAATGTTCAAACCCGAGTGGTTCTCCCCCTCCCTCTCCTTGCTTTTGTAGTTCAGTAAATGCAGTGGGCACTGTGTAAGTCAGGTCAGCTGATAAAAGGCTAAAGGGAGTCAACCAAGAAGAAAGAAATTCGCTTGCAAAAATAAAGACATTTTTAAAAGCCTTCCAGTTTTCAAATCAGGGTAACCTAGACAAATTTTAATTCAGTCTTAATTTTTTTTTATAATAGGCATAATAACTGTGAAAATCAGTGACATTTCATTTCATGATTCTTGAGCAAGGGCTGAAGCCTTTAATTGGGAAAAAGAATTTCTCACAGACAGCATAGGTTTTGATAGTGTGGGAAGCACAGTCCTCCCTCTTTTTTTTTTTTTTTAACCATAACTGAATCTGCAATAGAAATTTGGGAAGCAGGAAATGTGAAATATAATGAGTTATTAAATCAATAGCAAGAGTCTGAGACAAAAGTGAGCAGTTCCTCAAAGGCTGTGCTAAGCTCTATATGGGAAGAAGGGCAGAAGCTGCACTTACCATGTATAGATTGGCAGGCAGTAAAGTTAATATGTGACTGCTGTAAATAATTTGTAGTTCCTGGACTGTTCTGGTGTGTTGCTGTTTTCCACCCTCTGACCTACTGACTTTCCACTGATTAAATACGCTGCAGATAAAGTAATAACAAGGGATACAGATCACTGGGAGTCCCAGATCCATGGGTGCATATTATTTGATGAGTGCGGTACAGGCTGTTTTTATCTGGAGTTTTTCTGTGATAGGAATCTCAGGCTTTTGATGGAAGTGCTCTAGAAAATACACATAAAGCTGAAGACTTGCTAACAGATTTCTTCTAAACAGAAATAACCACTTTGGTTGCCAGGAATACTGTTAAGTTGGTATTGCTTTTAAGAGCTCAAGAAAAGAAGTCACTGGTGCTTATCAATTTCTTAATCCTTCAGCATTTTACTATTTCCTAAACAGTGAACTCTTATAGTAGGTAGGTGGATATGAACTATAGTGTAAGTCTGAGAAGATGAAAACTAAAGGTTTTTATTTCATATGTAATTTATCTGCAAATATATTTACAAATATGTACGTGTGTATATGAATGACAAAAGAAAAACATTGGCTTTCTTTACCTTTAAAGAGTTTTTTAATTGTAAGCCACTTGTGTTATATACTTGCATCTTGGCAGTGAACTTGAATTCAGTCTAATATCATCCTGATTAAAAAAAATTATGATCTTGAACAATATTCTAGCTGCTTAGCATTTAAAATAAATTCTCAATGCTGTACTAAGCCTAAAATTGAAAAAGAAACCCTATAATATGACCTCTAGCAATTTTAACATATCACAAGCTGATAGAGCTTGCTAGTCTTCTTACCACTGGCCACTTAAGAACTTCATGGAAGAAACCTCTGAATTAACGTGTGGGCAGGGAGTCTGACTCCATTGGGCACTGTAGTGGAGAACTCCTTTGACAGCCTCTGAAATGCATTTACTTCCATCATGTCGTGTTCTGTGTAATTTAAAAGCAATACCTGGTGGTTGATCAGTGCACATTGGTCAAGTCCAAGTGAAAAGAATATTTCAGGAAGAGCATGAACCCTACCCTTTTACAACAAAGTACCAAAATGGCCTTGAGGGAGGAAGATGTCCTAAGGATAAGGTTCACAGTTTAATCCAGAAATATACTTCTTCTTAGATATATTTTCTTTTAGGTAGTTTGAGTTTCCATAAAGCAAAATTGCATAATAACTAGCAAACTAGAAACAAATATTCTTTCTTATATGAAAGCCTAATGCTCTCTTCTTTGCAATAGAGATATTTACTCTGTGCAGCAAAAAAAAAAAAGACATGATTTCTTCAGCCAAAGGGTTAAAGTGTCTCTGCATATCCAAAATCTTTTTCTGATGATAAAACACATTTACAGGAAATAATTCATTAATAAGAAGGACATGGCTTTCTCGTTTGAAATCATTGTGGGCTGTTGTAATGAAAACAACTGCACACACACCACTTCTTGTCAGTTTTCCACATTTCTAATCATTGTTTTGATCTGGAGAATGCTAATAATCTGCATCTTGCTCATACTCTGACTTCCTTTTCTCTTTCTCCCAACAGCGGTAAGAGCTGACCGAATGCGTGGAGGAAGGAATAAGTTTGGGCCAATGTATAAGAGAGACAGGGCCCTGAAGCAGCAGAAAAAAGCCCTCATCCGAGCCAATGGACTTAAGCTAGAAGCCATGTCTCAGGTGATCCAGGCAATGCCCTCTGATCTGAGCATCTCCTCTGCCATCCAGAACATCCACTCTGCCTCCAAAGGCCTACCTCTGAACCATGCTGCCTTGCCGCCTACAGACTATGACAGAAGTCCCTTTGTCACATCCCCTATTAGCATGACAATGCCACCTCATGGCAGCCTGCAAGGTTACCAAACATATGGCCACTTTCCCAGCAGGGCCATCAAGTCCGAGTACCCAGACCCCTACACCAGCTCTCCCGAGTCCCTCATGGGCTATTCCTACATGGATAGTTACCAGACAAGCTCCCCAGCAAGCATCCCACATCTGATCCTGGAACTTTTGAAGTGTGAGCCAGATGAGCCTCAAGTCCAGGGCAAAATCATGGCCTATCTGCAGCAGGAACAGGCCAACCGGAGCAAGCACGAAAAGCTAAGCACATTTGGGCTTATGTGCAAAATGGCTGACCAAACCCTCTTCTCCATTGTTGAGTGGGCCAGGAGTAGTATTTTCTTCAGAGAACTGAAGGTATGTTACCAGCTATTACAACTTACAATGTCAGTATTCCCTGCAAGAAAGACCCATCCATGTTCCCAGCGACGGAGCTTTTGGTGCAGAAATACCTTTGGATTATTTAGTTTTTCATACTATCTAAGAGTTGAGGTAGTTTATGACCTTGGTCTTGGGACCAGACTGTTGTGTTTGATGTTATGTGAATTTTAATCTTGGAGAATGATATTTAACTGAAATTATAGAAAACTTTGTATTTTTTCCTGAATAATAGAAGGTGCCTGTATTTATGCTCTTAAGCTCAGGTGGTTTATGGTTAGAAACTAGTGTGCTACCTGAGATTATCAGTTAAAGAATGATGTTGTAAAGTAGTCATTTTGTAGATTCTTTTCAAAGGAGGAAAATGCCAACATTGAGTTGTGTTTAGGCTCTAGAGAATGCAAATGATACCACTGGCTAGTAGTATTAAATAGGTATTTACTGCCTGTTTACCCTGGCATTGGGTTGGTAAAGCCTTTGTTTTCAGAGCAGATTCCGATAGGATATTTGCTGTCATTGAAAGGGGAATGGGCAAAGGGTGAGTGTTAGCCTGCTCAGATTCGGTCTTGGTTTTTATAATCTATGTCTGCTGTTGATTTTAATGCATCAGTAGTATAAAAATTGTGCCTACTTGTAGAGGAAGGTTTTCTACTGAACTACATAATTATTCTACTTCCTGAAACGCAACACTAAATTAGTGTGGAAACATTATTGAGATGTTTTTGGAATCTAAAAATGGCTATTAAACCACATTTGGTAGTCGGTGGGTTCATTCTCTCTTTTAAAGATGAAAAGTGAATCGGGTTTGATTTCTATGTGCATCAATTACAGACTTGATGTCTCTCAGGGAGGGGAACGTGCGGCTACTAAATACCTATGCCTTCTGATCGGTCACCTTGGATAGGTGGAGGAGATTTTAAAGCCTCCCAAAAGAAGGGGGGGGGGAAGAATAAAGCATAGTTTTAATTGAAAAGATTGCTGTTAAAAATGGTCTCTGTGGATGGACTAGGAAATAGAAAAGTGATGTCCAAATGAAAAATAGAATCTTTCATAGTAGCCTGTGATTGAAATGTGGAGACAAAAAAGTTAACTGAGCCAAATATATAGAGTACCAGCCCAGTTCTTGATGTCAATGCCTTCCCTCCCCACCCCCCCCACCTTTACATTTAAACCAGTCTGAAGCCCGAGATAGGCTGTAGAAGGCAAGTGGAGTGCATTGAATTTGCACTGTCAGGTCAAATGTTTTGTGATAACCAGGGAATAAGTTGGAGATTGAGAAATTAAAGTGATAATTTTATTTCATTTCCTCTTAAAAAAAAAAAAGACTGATTGTAGATTGAAAAGTCAGAGGTAAGGAAATGAGGAAGTAAAATGAGCCTATTTGAATTGTGTCCTTGTCACTTGATAATTATATCTTCATGACAGGTTGTCATCTCTCTGAACCTTGGCTTTCTCGTACGTGGATTCTGCATCTAGTGTTGGTAGCAGTAGAAACCTGCATATAGTGTTAGTAGAGATAGATTGGAAAGAAATATGATACCTATGTTGAAGCTCTTTTGCAAGAAATAAATACGAATATTTGGGCAATACACTTAGAATTGGGGATCTGCCATATACAAGATGCTCGAGAAATTAGTCATTATTTACACTTGTTTTTTGAAAATGTGCACAATTATTACAGAATGCTACCTTCAATTCAGAGAAAGAAGTGCTGTTGTACTCTCCTAAGTTTAACACTGCAAGGCAGTATCACCATACAGGTTGTGAACCCAGCCCAAGGCCACTCCTCCAGTTTGTTCTGACTCCTGGTAACCCTCCACCAACTTTCTGAGGCTGCAGATATTTACAGGAGGAAAGCACCCATCTTTCTCCCATATAGCAGCTGGTGGGTTTAAGCCACTGATCTAACATGCAATACATTATGCTGCCAGGGAGCCTTGGCTCTCCATGAGTTATAGAATAGTAAAAGTGTGTGATAATCAGCAATATGTAGCTGATATTAATTGGGACCTCAACTTTTCAGACAGTAAGGTGAGTGCTGAGTGTCAGATTAATACAAAATTGAATAGACAAAAATATTTCCTCTCTAGAAGTAGGAAATAAATCTTCACAAGACCATTGAAGAAAAGTAAGGATATGAAGTAAAAATCCACTAGGAAAACAGAAGTGTCTATGACTTACACGTAACACCAGGGAACATGGTGTGAACATAGCTAGCTACAGGTAGAACTTCAAGCACTCTGGGAGGACAACTTGGTCAAGTATTCTTCCCCCTATTACTGCTAAATTCTACCCAAAATTCTTTTATCTGGTACGAGGCTTCATATTTGGCTAAAAGACAAATACTTCTGGAAATGAAACACAATGTAGTACTTGTATTCTCTTTACTGTGTTTATCAGCCTTTGATGAAAATAAGATTTGAAAAAGGAAAGAGAAAGAAAATAACCAAACAAGGACAACTTTTGAGGAGTGAGAGACCCTCCCAGAGGAGAATGGGCAAATGCCTCTGTTGGCAGTCTGCCTTGGGATATGGTTGTCCTGGAGTGAGTCAATGTCAATACTTCTCAGGGACCAAAACCCAGAATACAGAATAACTTGGGGAGGGTTTTAGATCTACTGTTTTGAAGTGACAATTCGCATTAGCATCCTTTTTCTTGTCCTTTATAAATTTAATTTGTTGAAAAAATAGAGCAAGTCAATAGGAGCCAGCAATGGGGCACGTTCACCACAGTGCATTTCTCCAGGCCAGTGACTTTCACAGATGTGGCCATTCTGACCATGACTTTTTGTAAGAAATATACTTTGGGACTGGGTATATTGTACACATCTTTCTCTCGGTCTTCCACATGTGTACATACATGCACACACCCACACCCCTCCTCTGAGCCAAACTAACACAGTGTCTAACACCTACCTACTTGACATACATGCTTGTATTTTTTATTCCTTTTTTCCTTATTATTGTTTATCACTGATTGCTGTTGCATCACTTCTGATACATGATCCCATGTGTGGAGACCAGAACTAGGTTTTCAAGGCTGTGATCTTTTGGGAGTCGGACTTTGAGTGCCAGATTTATTGTTGTCTGAGGCACCTCTAAATGGGTTCGAACTGCCAACCTTTCAACCAGTTATTGGATGCTTAACCATTTGAGGCATCCAAGGAGTCTAATGTACTTAATATTTTTAAAAATTCTTATAATGACCTTCCTTTTTAAAAAAAAAATAAAATTTTTATTCTAAACTGGTTTGCTTACAAAGTTCACACACATTGTTTTTCCCACTGGATCTCTCCCATTTCCTTTACCCACCCCTCACTCCACCCACCAAATTGCATGACCCTATGATTACCACCCTGCACACCTTCACCCATCCACTCCTACCCTCTCCCACTTGGATCCTCATACACGTTTTACTAGTTATTTTTCTATTTCTACAATAATGATTTATACAGTATTTGCCTTTATGGGGCTGAGTTAGTTCACTTAGCATAATGCTCTCCAATCCTTCCCAAGTTAGGTTGTAATTTTCAAAAATCATTGTTCCTGCATGCTATATAGTACTCCATTGTGCGAATGTACCACAATTTCTCAATCTACTCTATTGTGGTTGGACATTGGGACTGTTTCCATGTTCTTGCAATGGTGAATAATGCTGCCATGAACATTGATGTACAAATCTCCATTTGTGCCTCATTTCTCATTTGCTCAGGGTATATTGCAAGAAAATAGCTGGGTCATATGGAATGTCTATGTTCAACTTTCTGAGGAAATGCCAAACTGCTTTCCAGAGTGGTTTTAGCATTTTACAATCCTACCAACAATGTATAAGAGTTCCTATCTCACCACATCTTCTCCAACATTTTTACTTACTGTCTTGTTAAACTTTGCCACTGTCACTAGGGGTAAGATGGTATCTCCTTGTAGTTTTGATTTGCATCTCTCTTATTGCCAATAATTTTGAGCATTTCTTTATGTGGCCATGATCTTTTTAAATTGGTTGACTGTGGTCCAAAGAAGCATTGCTCTAAGGACAATTTTGCAGGCTTTTTCTCCATGGGGAGTTGCCTGCCTGCCTGCCACCACAAGAACCACTCCTAAAAATATCCCCTACCTCCTGGCTGTCCATCTCACCTCACCCCTGGAACCACTGAAACCTCTAGCCCCAGACCTCATGCTGTCTTTCCTAGGGAGGTTTTTATTTTTAAATAACATTTGAAAGTATGCATGTTCTCATTTTATACTTGTATCATTTCGTTGTCAACTGGATAATAAATTATGTATCAAGTAATGTTGCACTTTTGGGGCTGACCACTTAGACCACTATAACTCCAAGATGCAAAGCCACGGTCTTTGCTAAGGAAATTTACATTTTGCTAATGATTCCTTGTTAACGCTCTGAGAACAATTTAAACTTTCTACCATGTATGATGGGACAGTATGTAGATTTCTGTATCATTTAACGGGAAAGGAGGGTCAGAGGCACTTTGGGACAGTTATTTTGCTTTTCTACATACCAACATGGTATAATATGTTCTATAAAGTAATTGCTGAGTAAGAAGGACATTTCAACACATAAACCCTCAGCTTCTGCAACAGTGCATGCACACACACACACACACACACACACACACACACACACACACACGACCTCCAAACAAAATGCACTGCTGTAGGGTTGCTTTCTTACGATGACTCCCCATCAGAGTTTCCAAGGCTGTGAACCTTTATGGGAAGAGATTGTACAGTGGCTAGTGGATTCAAAAACACTGACCTTTCTGTCTGCAATCCAGTCCATGTCATATCATACACAAGGGCTTCTTTTACAATATACACAATGCAGCCCACCAGCAAACAGAGCAGCAGACAAAACAAAACAACAAACAAACAACCCTCAAAAATTAAAAAAAAACACACACACACACCAACTTAAACTTCAAAGCTAAAAGAGGAAAAGGAAATTGAGGGCATGTGTGAGTG